GCACAGAAGTATAAATCAAGAGGCTGCGTCCAGCCATTCATTCATTCCTGCGGATGCCATGCGGAAGCGCTGCCTCAGCAGCTTGTGCGAGGAGGTCTGCAGTGTGCCCGAAGACAAAGTGGGCAGAGAAGTGTAGTGTAGCGATAGGGTAGTGGCAGCTGGCGCTGCCATAGCCATAGCCTAGTGTGCGTGTGTTGTGTATTAGCATTGAGTGTTGCGTGTGGGACATCCAGGGTGATCTCGAGTGTGAACAGTGAGTTGTATGGGCGCACAGTCGCCATAGCCAGTTGGAAGAGAACTCATATCTGGTAACGATATCTTTGAGTACGTGTGGGCGCATGTCGCCAGTTCGCTGTATCGCTGTTTGCAAGCATGATGAAGTGTGAATAAGCCGAGTATGATTGCACTAGCTCAGTTGGTAAGGCTCGCAAGTGGCATTCAGGAGGTTGTGGGGTCGATCCGCATTGGCCTCACGTACTTTCCTGGGCATCCTTGGCAGCCGCCACCTGGAGATAGACCACTGGATCCCCCGATCAGCATTGAGCACAGTCTGCTGGTGTTCGTAGGGGAGGGGACATGAGGGGAGGCACAGGGGTTGGTCCTGTTGGCATCGTCCCCGATGCTACCAGATGTCTCCTGACCGGTATCGCCCACCTGCAGGTCAGGAGCAGCCCTCGAATGTTCTCTCGTGAACACAGTTCTGGCTGCTACGGGGTTCCCCGTATGTTACATGCTGCGCCTGCAACAGGCTGCACGGGCCATTTTCAGGCCCGTGTTGTTTTCAGCCTGAAAGCCTGAAAACAAGGGCCTACAGGCCCCATGTTGTTTTCAGCCTGAAAGCCTGAAAACAAGGGTCTATAGGCCCCGTGTTGTTTTCAGCCTGAAAGCCTGAAAACAAGGGCCTACAGGCCCTGTGTCGTTTCAGCATAAATCAGGGCCTTTCCGGCCCTGAGTCTTTTCAGCCTGAAACTGAGGGCCATTTTCAGGCCCTCATAAGATCGACCTGCCCTGAAACTCAGGCACCAGACCAGGGTTTTAGCTCAGGCCATTTTTGGCCTATTTTCAAGACAACCTTTGTTTGAGCTTCAACCCCAGGGTCTGGCACATTTTGGCATTGGCAAGAGCAGCCTCCTGGATGGGCCAGCAGTATATAAGACTGGCCCGCCCTGCAGGCTGCAGGTAGTTCCTAGGTACTTCCCAGGCACTTCACGTGCAGTTCAGGAGGCAGGAGGTAGTCTTCAGGATTCGGCAGCAGCACTCTGGAGGAGCACTGCAGGAGTAGTTGTAGCGCTAGCAGTAGTCTTCAGCTCTGGGCGCTAGTAGCGTTAGCAGTAGTCTAGCTAGAGTAGTACTAGAGAGAGAGAGATTGGGCGGAGGCCAGGGATACTTACCTGCAGCGCCATAGCTCCAGCTTCGCCTTCGAGGTACCTGCAGCACAACGCCATCTTCACAGTTTAGTACCTGGCATATGAGAGAGAGAGACTTCTTCTTCTTCCTCTTCTCAGTCCACCATCTCACTCTCACCCTCTCGCTACCTGACTTCACTGCATCGGCAGACTACGAGAGAAAGAGAGAGCTTGGTGACATTTGGATCCAGACTCGACATTTGGGCTTCAGACATTTTGACGAGGGATTATTTGGGACTTGTAACAAAGACTTGGTGTTGACGACACTCCCATCTCTCCCCCTCTTCTTCGTCTGTTCCCCTCCTCTTCGTCTGTGCATGATCTGGGCCTGGCGTTGCAACATTGATTGGGCTAGTCATTGGTATTCTAGCATTCTGCTGCACTGTCTTACACTACGTGATTGAGGTCAGTCCCGGTCAGGTCAGGACTTGTATCTAAGTCTTCCACTGCGCTATAAAGCACCATTCTTGTATGTATCGGAATGTACACCATTCTTGTATGTATCGGAATGTACACTGCTTGTTGAGATTTCAATTGCACTGGGTTCAGTCCTTTTTATCACATTGCGGAGCCTTGGTTTATTATGTACATCGCCCAACTGCGCATGTAACCCGTGTGACTATAATTAGGAGTACAGTGTTGTTCTCATTTACTCCGACACAAAAAATCGCAATGGCCACACACACAAAAAAAAAAAAAAAAAAAATATTTTTTTTGCACGTAAGTGCCATTCAGGAGATTGTAGGTTCGAGCCCCATGACCGCCTGCGGTGCATTTAGTCCCAACCACCAAAAAGAGATGGCTCTCACTTTTGTAACATTACTTGGATTGCTTACTCTTGCAAAGTTTCCGTGCAGGTGGAGATCATGATTGTGTTCGTACAGTGTTGTTCCCGTGAGTACAACCTTCTGTTTACCTTCTTTTTTTTCACCCTTCTCTTTTCTTTTACTTTCGCAGCTTTTGTACGTAAACGGATTTTGCAGCTTCTGTCCGCCTGGACTCGAGCCCCCGTCCTTAAAATAAATAAATAAATAAACAAAACGAAAGAAGAAGACAAACCACGCAAGCACATCGCACGGACAACCGCAAATCACGCGGCAAATCCTAATGCCCCCCCCCAAAAAAATTATTTTCCAAAGTTTCCGTGCAGGTGGAGATCATGATTGCATCCATACAGTATTGTTCTCGCAATGCCCAAAAAAAAAAGCTTTCTTTTGTAACTAAGTGCCATTCAGAAGGTGGTGGGTTCGCGCCCTATCACTGACTGCAATGCACTTTGACACGCCCCCGTCCCCGAACAAATTCCGGTCAGTACAACCTTCCGTTTACCTTTTTTTCTTTTTTCCCGTCTCTTTTCTTTTACTTTCGCAGCTTCTGTACGAAAACGAATTTCGTAGTTTCTGTCCGCCTGGATTCGAGCCCCCGTCCATCAAAAAAAAAAAACCAAAAAAAAAAACAAAGAAGAAAACAGTAGAAAACAGAAACGAAAAAACGTTTGCAACAGCTCCTTACTCTTCCCAAGTTTCCGTGCCGGTAGAAATCACGATTGCGTTCGTACAGTGTTCTTTCTTTTGCACTTGACCACACTTTTTTTTTTCTCTTTTCTTTCTGCGAGGATCTGCGTCCTCGGCAGGCCTAAGGGGCCATGTTACAGAAGTGTTCGCCCTAAGTGAAGGTGGGCCTAACAAATCGTGAGAGGCCCTCTGATGTCAATTTCGTA